GACAGGTGTTCAATGACGAAATTAATATTATTTGTAAAATAAGTGGTGTTTTTCCTCACTGTGTTAGCACTGATTAACGTTAATTATTTTTAAAACAAAGGCGAGCTCGTTTATGGATAGTTTTCCTGGAATAAATTGTTATTTCCAAAGTGAATTTATATTTTTAATACGATTTAAAAAAGAAAATGGTACAATGACGTCAGAGATTGGAGAGCAGCTTAAATAGCTTCCATTATCTTGGGGATTCTCAGCAAACTTTCTTTGGCCCGCTGGACGTGCCTTTAGGAGGGGACTTGGGAGAAAAGGATCCATCTCCCAGGTCTGAACGGGATTCTTCTTGATTTTGTGAGATCTGTTGCCAGTTTTCTGGTCAGCATTAGTACGTGTGAAGCGAAAACATCGGAGTTTAAGTTTTAAAAAAAGGACAAAACAATTAAAATGATGTTGTAACGAAGAAAGTTTATTTTTCCTTGTCTCTCATTTTAGGTGGAACTAAATGGTCTGCGCATCGCCGTGGCTGTGTCCTCGACTCTCAGGTGGTTGGATTGTGGCAACGCCCCCCGCCTGCCCTGTGTCCGTAGCTGAGTTTGCAGCACCTCGACCTGCGTCCTAGAAGGGTGGATCCCGCCGACGAAAAGAAGATGTGTACTTCGCCCTGCCATTCACCGACGAGCCATGATTTCAATTGAAAGACTTTTAATATTTAATGTGTTAACGCCATTGTTCAAANAATAGCGCAGTTTGAGAATAATAAAAGAAAAAGATTATTGAACGAAGAAAGTTTATTTTTCCTTGTATCTCATTTTAGGAGGAACTAAATGGTCTGCGCATCGCCGTGGCTGTGTCCCCGACTCTCAGATGGTTGGATGGTGCTGACGCTCTCTTGCCTGCCCTGTGTCTGATCTGAAGTTAGTCCAGCACACAAGAAAAAGAAACTGTAGAGCTGAAAATGGTGGACCCGCCAACGAAAAAAAAAGGGATGTGTACTTCGCCCTGCCATTCACCGACGAGCTATGATTTCAACTGAAAGACTTTAAATGCTTTAATATTTTGACACCATTGTTAAAAGACTCTAAAATACTGTCATCGTCATGAAAAGACTTTGTTATATAAGACGCTGAACTGCCCGGTTTCCAGAGCTATTTTTCCCTATATTGATAAAGAAAAATATAAATTAAAGGGTTTTATCTCTGGTTTTCCCCCGGGCGTACACTAAAACGTAATTAAATGTGTAATTTTCGTTATCTTTGTAAATATTGTAAATATTATTAGAGTGAAAGTCTCCAACATGAGTAATGAAAAAAAAAAAAGTTTTTTTTCTGGAAAAAATGGAAGGAATATGTCAGGTGCGACATAAAGATCATACGAAGTTGTATGACGTAATATGTTATAGTGCAATAGCTTTTGAGTAATACGGCGGTCTCTATGTATGACGCCGAAGTAAAGAAATTAATTATACAATTAAAGGTAATTATGTTTGACGTACATCTCATACTAGTGCAGCACTGGATCCATGTAAAGATAACAAAATAGTATTTAAAGTAAGTGATGAGAATTGAACGGGAGATATACTGGAGACATGTAGAAGGAAGCAACGAAGGAGGAGGTTGGAAGCGACGATGTACGGAGCGAGACGTAGTTAGGATTTGGAGACTTCACTTAGAATATCATGTAGTTACCGAGCGTCAACGAATAAATCATTTAACTGGTCATTATGTGGACTTGGGTTTTCTTTGCGCGACCTTACGTATTCTGACACGAACCGTGGAGTCTTTGGATTGCGTTATCCACTAAGTTAGACGAAAACGTTATGTCCTATTTCGAGCCCACGCTTGAATTAAGCGTTCAAAATTATATAAGTTTAGGACATTCGTCATAGGCATATGTAAAAGGTTCATTACAAGCATGATTAAAAAAATAACAATGAAAATAAAAACGCATGTTAACTTGCATTTTGCGATGTTTGGAGAAAAACAATGTCAAAACCACAGATCAAGCGGGAAGAAAGAGTTCAAAATGTACCCAAAATAAAAATCACAAAAAGACTTTTGAAAAAATTAATAACACCCCCCCCCACCCCCGAGTTCACAGTTACCAGGATTATCAGTTAAGAACTACTACTGTCACCCAGTTTTATCTGATCACTTTGCCCATAACAGAAAAAGAAACTCTCAGGTAAAATTGCTCGATTGCCGAGGGAGACCCATTCAAATGCAACTTCACACCTCTTAATTGCGGTAAAACGTAATCGCCTTTGTTAGCGCTTCCTTCTACATATCCTTGACACCGTACTGGGCATCACTAGGCTAGGGCCCTCTCCAGAGCTGTCAATCAAAATGGCGGCACGCTTACAAGCCTAACGAGTGGTCAGAAAATGTAACAAAAGCACGATTTTCTGCCCTTTCAAAGCACCCAAACAAAATATTTTTAGATGACAATGAGCAATGGTTCCATCTGATCGTATTACCGATATCAGATAAATTTGCCAGCTAAGCATTTGACTAATAAGCTCTGTTAACCAACCTGTGAACGTTTTTGGCTGTTTTAACAGCTTTCTATATTGACGAGATAAGTGAATCCCTGCCAAGTATATCTCACTATCTGAGCAACCGATCGTTACAAAAGTTGCACCTATTGTTTTTGGGAATGTGTACTACAGCATGATATCAGGGGTTTAAAAGGAAATTGTTTGTTTGAAAGTTATCGTCTTTTGAAGTGAATAACCCATTGAAATATGGGGTAATTTAACGTAAAAGATGATAAAATCAAAAGTAAATAGTTTAAGACAATTCCCTGGTACCGCGCTGAAGTGCTTTCACCCAGCTTTATGAGGCCTTTTGAATCACTTGAATAGCTGTCTTGGTTATAGAGACAATCCCAATACCGAAAACGTCATTTTTCCCCTAAAATTGGCGCTATAGCGTCATCCGTTGGACACTGTACTTAATCCCCGTCTTTAATTGGCCTTTTGGGAAGTTTGTTTTAATTTTTCATGAAAACTTATAAGCCCAGGGCTTTGTTTCTATGACTCTCGTCTTTTTACTATTAGTCCCCTTAAAAGTTAGCAGGTCATATGCAGCATCTATTATTATTGAAGCATTAAATTACTTGTTCAGTCACATTACCCTGCATAGTCAATTTCCAGTTCTGTAGCCAGGGTAGTTCAGGGGGTTCAAAAGAACTGCCTTTTTTGCTGGAAAAGGTCCACTCTGGGTAAAATTTGATCTTGGTACATGAAGATTTTATGGTAAAAGGTTCACTTTTTCAGAAAAAAGACCCCCCCCCCCCTTTAGGAACTGCTAGCTACAGGCTTGAATTTTTGTAGTATTTTTGCAATATTTTCAACGAGTATCTGTAACTTTGAGATGAGCTTCTCTCCTACTCCATATGTGAATGTTTAAAAGGGCCTAACAGTGGATAAATCTATAGCATTAGAGTTTTCACTCAGTGACCATTCATGCACATTTGAGTGCCATTTACCAATTCTGCAGTGTAAACTGTGTGTGCAGCTAAAAAAAATCCAGTTGTATGTTGATATATCATTGAAATCAGTATTTATATCATGCTGAGCTGAATGTTAGCTTTCATATTTTAAACTATTATCATATATAAAAATCCTGCAATTAATACCTGGAACATAAACACAATATTTGGTGTAGTGGTATGAATGTCTGTTGTATAACTCATGAACCATTTTTTCTTACTATCTATTTTTCTTTGCCGTGGATATTTAAGAGCAAAATTTAATTCTTCTCTTATTCACTTCACAAATATAATCACCAGACTTGTTAATTGTACCACCAGCGCTGGTGGCACACATGGACTAGCTAGTCCTGACCGATATTGCTCATTGCCTCTGTTGGCTCTGCCAGCTCCACCACCATGTCACTGTTACTCTTTCTAAACTAAAAGAGCCCCTGTATCCATCTCTTGTATGTAGGTCACATATAATCTCAACTCGATCGATACAGATGTTAATTTTTGGCATTGTAGTTGCTTGGGTGATGTGGTCCATAATGCACACTTGTCCAAAATTTGCAAAATCAAATGCTAAATATCTCCCGTTTTCAAGGTGTGTGTCAGTATGCGTTTCACAGTATCAAACCCCAGAACAAATTTTGAGATGAGATGCACTACTTTCCAACCCTGATGAGAAACATCACTATATAGCTATCACATCGCGTACTAGACAAGAGCGGTGTCGTGACTGATACTTTGAAGTGTACTGACTCACACCTTGAAAACTGGTAGTGTGGACCGAGCTGCCAATGAATTCAGGATCATTCTGTGCAGAGTCTGGTAGTTGAATGGGTAGGCCTGGGAATTATGGGAAATATTACTATAGATGGCTGACCAAAAGTCATATGTGGAGATTTCAAATATGCTCTTGGGTTTGACCTTTGGCCTTTATTTCAAGGTCAAATAGGCCAAAATTTTCTGAAAATGAGAATTTTTTTACAAAAAAAATATATATACATATTTCTGCTGATTCTCAAAAACTACACAGACCTAATTAATTTAACCTATAATGTTATGGGCAGGTGTTACCCTTAGGGTCATCTTTCATCTTCCTGAGTTTGGGGTCAATTGGTGCAATTTCAGACTATTAGGTCCATATACTTGTAGTTACTGTACAATTGAATAGAGGGTACAGGAGGAGGGGACAGGATTGTGCCTGAAGTGACATCCAGTGGTGTACGTAAGACATGAAGCTGAGTGCTCATTTTTAGCTGGAAGTGAACAGGAGTGAAGGCATGGGCTCAGAGAAAAAAGTGTTGGTCATATATCTGAGGCTCCTGATGGCAAATGCCAATTTTCTTTTGTGAGACCTACCAGTAACTTAATTACCATATCAAATTACATGTATGTTACAAATATATGTGTGTACTAGAAGTGTATCCATCCAAAGGACCCGTAAGGTTCTGAGATGATTTGGTTTTGAAGGGTAGTGTAAACTTATTTTAGAAAAATGCATTTACTAAAGCTATATATATGCAAATATGTATATTTCAGTGGAGCCCAGTGAAAATCCTGTCTTGACCGCCATGCTATTAAATGACCAGTGGTCAACAAAGTTCATGTGCTTTGGTCAGCTTGGACGTCCAGCCAAGAGGATCATGTGGTACCGGACTCTGAATGGTCAGCAACAAAATAGGACCTCAGAGGCTCAGTCAAGGGACCCTGTCCTGAATAGTGATGATTGCACATATAATGGACAGAGTGAGCTAAGAGTAGATGTCTCGGCCTCTGATGATGGTGCACAGTTTACATGTATGATTGGACAGAAGTCGGCCAGTGTGTTACTGAGTATGTATCAGTTAAAATTTAACAACAATTTTGGGCACTGTCATCATATTTACCATTTTGGGAAAACCATGTCACTTATTATTCTCAAACTTAGAGAAAAAACATATTGGACTAAAAAAACAGCATCAGTTGGGAAACCAATCTGACTGGTTTATTTTTCTGGAAGATATACATGCAGTTTCTTTTGTGAAATATTCATTTTTCATATACTGGTATTTTCAAGGTACATGTATGTCTTAGATCTTCCATGGGCTTAAAATCTTTGCTAGTCACATTTTTAGAATATCCATGATAATAATATTTTATTATTAAAAATTACAATATTTCAGCTGCTGCCAGCAACCCTGAGATCACCTATACCACCACAGGTGCCCTCCCCATCATAGACTCAGCAATGGACAGTGTTGAGTTTGTCAAAGGTTCAGCCGTCACTCTCATTTGCTCAGCCACTGGTGACCCTCAACCTAACTTCAAGTGGTTTTATCGAGAAGAGCTATCCAACACCAGAGAAGCACAAAGCGGAAATCGCGATAACTCTTCTGTTCTTAACCTGAATAACATTCAGAAACCTGGATACTATGAGTGCCAGGCCAGTAACATTTTTAACCAGTTGCATGGTCTACCTAGCAAGGTCCTGAGAATTACACTGTCAGGTAAATGATAGTAGTTGTAAATTAAGGGGTGCAATCAGCTTGTTTGAGGTATGAGACTTTAATGCTTCTAGTAGATTACAACATGCCGCAAATGAAATCATTGACTGGACAGAAAGAAACAATAAGAGACTAAATGCCACCAAAACAAAAGCTATGACAGTAAACTTTACACAATCAGATTCAAAATGTCAATCAGTTAATATTGGAGGAACTCGTGTCAGTGAAGTATCCCATTTCAAACTGTTGGAAGTTTTTATCACTAAGAGCGCATTCTCAACTAATTAAGCCAGGCTTTACAAAGCCGGTGACCTAAAAATGGCGGACGTACATGAAAGAAAAACCGCCTAATCTTTTAATAGTCTCTCTGCCTCTCACACGCCTTCCCACACGTCGTCCCTGCGGGGTACAGTAATTAAATCTCGGCTCCGAACATTAATATTTCCGTGAATATCTCTGGTGATATTATCTCCGTAGATAGTCGATTCATTGCTGCTCTACTGGCCAAATTATTCCTTTTTCGTCTCTGTTTTCAAAGATAATAGAACAGAAGAGCTTTTTTCCTTCAATAGCCTTCAGCCGCCATGCTTTCTTCACCACGAGTTTAACTGATGAGCATGCGCACTTAATATTTCTCAGGTAGCTTCCGCATGGCGAACGGAGACGCGATTTAATTACTGTACCCCGCAGGGACGACGTGTGGGGAGGCGGAGAGACTATTAAAAGATTAGGCGGTTTTTCTTTCATGTACGTCCGCCATTTTTAGGTCACCGGCTTTGTAAAGCCTGGCTTAATTCGTTGAGAATGCGCTCTAACAATCTTAAATGGTCTGAACATGTTAATTTTATCTATATAAAAAAGCATGCTCTATATAAAAATTTTATCTATATAAAAAAGCAAGCTGTCCACTTCTGATCTTGTTCAGGTATATCAGAGTTTATTTCGGACTGTGGTTAAATATGCTTGTCCTGTGTGGCACCCTGGATTAACTGGAGAACAATGTAAAATAATAGAACCCATCAAGTCAAGGGCACTTGGGATCATTTTCACTGAATTAACTTATGTTGATGCTCTAGCCAAAGCAAAACTTATTACATTAAAAGAGCGCAGATTTGAACTCTGCAAATCATTCTTTGCAAAAATACAAAATGACACAGACAAGCTGAACTACCTTTTAACCTGCAATCCACACAGGAGACTAAGAAATAGCCTGTCAAAGTTTAACACACTAAAAATTAGAACTGAACATTTTAAAAACACTTTATTCCTTTCCCTTTATTTAACCATTAGTGGTCTGAGTTTTACTTTTGAAACTCATTTTGGCCTTTATTGTATTCAATATTCATTACTCCATCCTCTTTTACACTAACTTTCAGATGCCTGTGCAAAAATTTGTTTTATCCATTTATTTTATTTTATCCTTTTTTTTATCTCATTAAGTTCTATTCGCATATCCTATATAATATATCAATATTTTAATTTGTAAATTAGTACATTTTATTCTTACTCCATTATATGTATTACTTCAACCTTTTGGTTGCCATGTCTTAATAAACTTACTTACTTACTTCTTACTTACTATTCTCAAAGGCACCTTCTGTGCTACAATTTTTATACACAGACACTGTAAATGTCTGTATATATTCTGATTGCTCTGTCTGTCCGCATCGACATCGCTTTCACTGTCACCGCTGCTGTCGCTGTTTGACACATGACATTCGGCTGATTAACTTTCAAACTGTATTTTTGTTTTACTTTAAATTTACTGAGTGGCTTGATTTGGCAATGAAGCAGGTGGCTTTTGAAAATAGGCATGATTCTTTGAGATTTAGGGTAATTATTCTGTTTTTTTTTTTTTTTTTTTTTTTTTTTTTTTTTTTTTTTTTTTTGCACAATTTTGGTGATGTTCACCCCATAACTGCCAAAACGTATTTTTGTTTTACATTAAATTTACTGAATGGCTTTGTTTGGTAAAGAGGCAGGTTGCTTGAATATTTCATTTTTCACACATTAGCATTTTTAGCAGATTTTATAGCAGATGAAACTAAATTACTTACTAGTTTTTCTATGTAGCACATAACGTAAGAGGGTAAGGGTGATTATGCTGTATTAAAGCATTATATAATAGTGCATCAAAATTGGCCAAAACATTATTTAGTGCTCTCTTTTCTGCATCTGTATGTCTGAACATTTGCCAGCTTTGCTGCCTTGTTTCTGTCTAGTTTTATGTGTGAAATGTTCATTTTTCACATATTAGCAATTTCAGTGGAAATTGAATCACTTGTTAACTGTAGTACGTAATGCAAGAGGATAAGATTGATAATTGTTATTTTAAATCATTTTGTAACAGCTGCATCAAAATTGGCTAAAACATTTTGTGTATAATGTCAACATTTGTCAGCTTTGCTGTATAGTTCAAAATAAGGCTCAGAATAAACCTGTCGATTCTAGGGCAATTCCCCCCCCCCCCGGACTATTCCCCCCAGGGCAATTCTCCCCCACCCCCCAGAAATATATATTAATATACAAATATTAAGTACAAAGGGTTAAGTTTAAAACATTTCATCCATTTTATGAATGTTTTTATTGTGATAATACAACTTCATCATGAAACAAATTATTTTGTAACAAATTCCCTTTTCATTGAATACAAGTACAGGAAGATTTAATAAATATCAAATCAAAGTATAACCACCTATACTTCAGGTAAAGGTTGGGTAAACAGATGAACAGGTAAACAGATGTTTTATGAATATTTTTAGTGTGGTGGGTAGTGGTCAAGCAATTTAAAGTGACAAACGGTCAAGGGAAAATCTGGATAAGCGAGAAAATCTGTCTCCCTACATGCACCTTGATTCAAGACTTACTCGACCAAGAGGGAGTAATAAAGCAATTAAAAGTAACAGTTAATTCCTCAAAAGGTTACCTGGATGAGTGAGATCATCTGCTTACCCCTCCTTTACCTGGGGATATACTTTGATCAGATTTATAATAAAATGTTGTGTACTTCTATCTCGAAAATCGTATGTACTTATACTCCATGAAAATAATTTGTTTTATAAAATTAATATTATCTATCCTCGAGTTGCAACATCACACTAAGAAATATTCAATGAATGAAAAAAAAGATTTGAACTCTGTACTAGTTCTTTACTTTATATTTGTATATAGATATATATATTCTTTTGGGGGAGGGGATCGTCTGGAGGGGGAATTGTCCTGGGGGGGGGAATTGCCTGGGGAGGGGGGGGGATAGTCCAGGGGGAATTGTCCTGATACCAACCTGTCATGATGGGAGGATGCCATTTTTTTACTTGACATCATTTCAGCACCAACTACTGGGGCCAGTGTGAGGGGTCTATCTGTAGAGGCCATAGGAGGGATAATAGGGGCCATCCAGGGGGTCATTGTGATTATTGTCTTGGCTTATGTCACCTACACCTACTGCATCAAGAGGAAGCATAAAACAAGAGGGGAAGAAAAAGGTAAAAGTAAATTTGAATCCAGAAAAAAATTAAATTAAAACCAACTGATAATTTGATCTCATTACAATGAATGAATATGCAATCATGAAAACAATACTACAAGGCCTGGAATGTTGTCATTTATGGCACTGGTAGTTTCTCACATAAATTATAATTGCTAAAACAACCCCTACTGGTCTGTGTTTCCCTAAACCCCTTACCCCTATTATTGTAAAAATTTGAAAATTTTGTCGGTTTTGAAAATTTTATTGGAAAAACAATTATCCTCTGAAGTAAGTTTTTTCACTTTGAAAATCTCAAACTTGAGTTTGGACCTCTCAATAATTTTAAAAAAATCATCACCCAATATGGCTATGTCAGATTCATGCATTTTAAAATATTAATTTTTAACTGACAAACATTTCATATTTTTTTCTGTAATTAAATACTTAAGCTGTTTCATTTCCTCCTATCATGTTTTGCTCATAAAACTTGCTCCTAAATTTTCAATGATCTCCTCCCCCCCCCCAATTAAAAGATGCATGTGTGTATATCCCATCCATTTTTTCGTTGTAGCATCGCAAGGAAACAATGCAGAGGATGAAGTTGAAGACAGTGAGCTTCAGAGTTTTTTAAGTGGAGAGGTGAATGTCACACTTAAAAATGCTTTGGATTAAAGATTGGTCATAAAGTCTGTGAATTACAGTATAAAATAGTATAGTGCAGTCCCTTTTTAATGGGTTGCATGTGATAACAGCTATTACTTTAATCTTAGAAATTAACCAAAACTTGATTGACCATTTACAGGTGAAATATTGTAGCATGAATATCGTAATGTCAATTTATTGTACCACCAGTGTAGGCGCTGGCAGTACACATGGTTTTAGTCCCAACCTGCCTGTTCTGCCGGCTCCACCGCCATGTCATCGTTACCGCTTCTCCTCCTAGACTACAAGGGCCTGCGTACCCATCTCTTGGATTTAGGTCACCTATAATCTCAACTCGTTCCACGTAAAATTTGGGCTTTGTCAGTATTGTGGTCTAGGTGTGGCACTCATTGCAATGCACCCTTGTCCAAAAATAGCAAAATTAAATGCTAATTATCTACCCTACGGAAGGAATTATGGGAAAAATTTCTACAGACAGCTTTCCAAAACTCATGTGTAGATTTCAAATATGCCCTTGGCTTTGACCTTTGACCTTTATTTCAAGGTCAAACGAGCCAAAATTTTCAAAAAAACGAATTTTTTTAAGAAAAAAAATTATTTGCGCTGTTATTCAGACACCACACAGACTTAACCAATAACATTATTGGAAAGTGTTACCCTTCAGGTCATCTTTCATCTCCGTGAATTTGGGGTCAATCGCTGCATTTTCACGGGAGAAGCGGCCATAAGATACCAAAACTGAAAACTGTCTCTAATTCGGGAACCCTTAATGCTAGAGACCCATTCTTTTTTGCATTTTGTAGAGCATGTAAAGCCCAACACTTGGAGTGGTCTCAGTTTTTTTGTATTCCATACGGTTTTCGAGTTATGCTGTATCAAAAAGTACATATTGGTGGTGAAAGCAAAATGTGCAGTACGGTAATGGATAATAAATTTTGAACTCCGGAAAAATAAAACATAAGGCTTGGCGAGGCAGACAACTTGTGGTCAAAAATGACATTATTTCATCAAATTTGAACATCTAGAACTTCAGAGCACCTCCCATTTCAAGAATTTTGACCAAAATGACCATTTCTTTATTTTAATTAAATTTTTCTGTACGAAATTTATGGCACATTATTGTAACTCCAAAATTATAATATTTAGTCCCTTATATTTCCAAAACTGGCAGAGATAGGTCCATAGTTACTATTTAAGTTGAAAAGGAAATCATATACGGGCAATCTAAATGTGACCTTGAAATTGACCTTTAACCTACTTTCACCATGAACTGAACTTTGCAAATTTTGCTTCCCTTTTATCTCCAAAACTGGCAGAGATAGGTCTGTAGTTACTATTGAACTTGAATAGGAAGTCATATACTGGCAATCTATATGTGACCTTGAAATTGACCTTTGACCTACTTTAAACCATAAACTGAACTTTGTAACTTTTTAATGCTTTTATTTTCAAAACTGGCAGAGATACGCCCATAGTTACTATTGAATTTGAATAGAAAGTCATACGAGGCAANGTTTTTAAATAAAAGCATTAAAAATTTGCAAAGTTCAGTTCATGGTGAAAAGTAGATCAAAGGTCAATCTAAATGTGACCTTTAAATTGACCTTTGATCTACTTTTCACCATGAACTGAACTTTGCAAATTTTCGTTCCTTTTTATCTCCAAAACTGGCAGAGATAGGTCCATAGTCACTATCGAATTTGAATAGGAAGTCATATACTGGCAATCTTAGTGTGACTTTAAAATTGACCTTTGACCTACTTTTCATCAAGAATTGAACTTTGCAAATTTTCATACCCTTTTATCTCCAAAACTGACAAAGATATGCCCATAGTTACTATTGGATTTGAATAGAAAGTCATTAGTGGCAATTTACTGTGACCTTGAAATTGACCTTTGACCTACTTTTTATGATGAACTTCTTTTTGCATGTTTTCTGGCCTTTAAATCTGCAAAATTGGCAAAGAAATGCCCATGGTTACTATTGAACTTGAATAGAAATTCATATACTATGACATTGAAATTGACCTTTGACCTACTTTTTCACCATGAACCGAGCTTTGCATATTTTCTTGCCTCTCATATCTTTAAAACTAGCAAAGATGTGCCCGTTGTTGCCCCTAGGTTTTCTCTTTTGTCAGCATATATGCACCACTGACAACACATTTCAAGGAAAACCAATAGGCCTTTTGTCTAGAGAAACACAGGAGTGATCAGTGGTAGGAAAATGCAAGTCAATTCGAAAATCTGCTTGATTGTACTATTTTTAATTATATTTTTTGTATATTTTGAGAACTCCTGTTGATTGCATTTTATAGAGCTTGTCAAGCACAAGACTGGTGATGGGGGCCATACGAATGTGCTTACTCCATCTGGTGGTACAATATCCGGAGGCGGTATCGCCTTTCTGATCCTCTAGTTGTAATTTTAAAAGAATGAAGTAATAAGGATATTGTCAACCTTCGTCCAAAACTTCTTATTTTCTGCTCTACATTCTTTTGAGTAATAAATAAATCTTCAGTGTTCAGTAACTACGGTAGATCATTTAACAATGACTCATATGTCATCTTACGGGTGACGTCATAATTGCAATTTTGGATAAGAACTGAAAAAATCTCTTTTACCCGAGAACCCACCGTCACTGTTTCAACACCGATTTAATAATACCATTTAATATGCCAATACCTTGCCAGTGATTTTTCTTAAAAGTCTTAGTTCAGATTTGATGAAGTGAAATAATTCCTTGGTTTAACAAAAATCTATAACAAGGGGCTCATAACTCCATAACGAAAACATTTAAACCAAAATGACGTAACGGGATTGTAGCTTACGGAAATGGGCCATGAATTTCAAATGGCTCTTAAATTTTGAACGATCTTAAAATTGGCGGGCTTTTTTATGGACCATGAATTTCGACCAGTAAGTAATTTTGTATGATCTTGATTTTCATGAATTTCAAAATCAGCCATCGGGCTATTTTCGTGCTCATAAAGATCTAACAGAGAGATGAGAGCGTACCCTTACCTGAGTACTACGTGTGCGGCCCAAGGTGCAAGATAATGATCGGTACAGTTAGCTTAGGATGCTAAACAACATAGTCATCACCATTCATTAAGGTAACGGGTGAATCAATTAAGAGTGACGCTTTGTCAATTTTATTTACCGGCCGGAGTACTCGGTATGAGATAGCGGTCGGTAGTTTTGCTGAGGCGCACAATAGCATTGTCTCAACAGTAGGGACTTCTGTAACAGAACAAAAGAAACAATTAAGTAACCATTCCCACAGATATTTGGAGTCTCACTAAATTGCAGTCCACTTGGCCAGCTTAATATCTGTCACGCCTAGTAAAACTGTTAGGGGGTAATTTTCTTTACCCCCTACTTAATTTGGTAGGCGTGACAGAAATTTAAGAAGATAACAATTTAGTAAGACTACCCAGGGAGTTAGATCAATCCAGCTGGATCGATCTGTGTATGGAAACCCAGTCTAAGAGATGCAATAAAGATTACCATCATTGCTTTCTTGCCTGGCTCGGATCGTTCATGATCTCCCGCTAACAATCTTCTGCTAATGAAGTCTATCTCGTCCCCTGGACGAATATGAAAATTGCCTACCTGACTCGCAAGGTTCGCTAACCTAGCAGGGGCGTAACCAGATCCTTTAAAATTGTACGCACAGATTTTGAAAATTTCCAGGTACGATTATATTCCGTGAAAAATACACTGAATTTATGGAGAATAATATCATGGTTGGCCCAAAAAATTGTACGCACAGTGCACCGTGCGTATGCCTGGTTACCCCCCTGCCTAGGTTCACAAAATTTCCTGCTGACTATATGAATATTGCCTTCTAGCATGGACAAAATATCCCAGTTTCTAGGCCTGCTCAGATTGTTGACGATCTGCTGACAAAATCCCTTGATCTAGTATGGAAAATGCCTTATCATGACGCTCAGATCGCTCACAATCTCCCATTGGCGAATTGAACTTTTTCATTTTTTCATTTTTTTCAGCTTTCACAATGAAGGTTAAGGTGGCAATGTACCCAAATATGGTTAAAAATCGTCATTTTAGGTTTTTGATGTCTAATTATTGGATAAATGTGTATCTAACATTTAACAGAATAAGATTTTTACATTTTGAACAAAAAATGTGTTTTTTTTTCGAGGATTTGATGCTGCACACAGCGCCACTGGTGGCCTGGTCTATGCCCTGCCTTCCTTGTCAAGGACCGTTGGCATGGGTAAACTCGGTGGGCAACCTCAGCAGCATCAGCACGACTCGAGAAACAATAGAACAGGGATGCGCCATAATCCCTTTGTCATAAACAGCAATCAGCAAAGCATTGCCTATTGTTCCACTTTTAAAAGCTGTTTTGATAGTCACTCTTGATTGTGATCAGCGCTAAGGAGAATCTTTTCCGACACATTGGATTTGCTTGAAATACGCGTTCTCCCTTGAACTTTTCCTGACTCACCCAACTTTGGACATTTCTTCAAACAAAGCTTTTCTTGTTGCATCTATTTCTTGTTGCTGATGGTCCGATCGGCGTCCTGTAAATATGCCCCTATTTCAGACAGACCACGAGTCCCACGAATCGCCAGGAATTGACAAATTTCAGGATTCATGAGTTTTGCAAATTTTCTGGCCTAATGCCCTTATTTCACACAGACCACGAATCCCACGAATGGCCATGAATTGACAAATTTCAGGATTCATGGTTGAATCGTAATCAGTTCGTGAAGTTTTTAACAGATTCGTATATATTCGTAGTCAGTTCTTGCACTTCTTGGCCAACAGGAATTAGTGGCAAAAACTTTAATGCTCCTATTTCACACAGACCATGAATCCCATGAATCGCCAGGAATTGAAAATTTCAGGATTCGTGGTTGAATCGTAATCAGTTCGTGAAGTTCTCAACAGATTCATATATAATGTTGAAGTTAAAAGTATAAAAAAGCTTGGGCTGGTTCAATTTTTTATTATTATTTTACAGTTTTACATTACATTCAAACCACCTGCGACCAACAACATATGTCACAACTTCACCCCGCATGGAGTCCACACTCTTTCCAACATGGAAAAACACGTGTGGCCAACATACATGTCACAGCTTCACCCCGCATGGAGTCCACACTCCCTCCAACCACATGGAAAAACACGTGTGACCAACAAACATGTCACAACTTCACCCCGCATGGAGTCCACACTCCCTCCAACCACATGGAAAACTACTCACTTCCCTCTTTTTTACCACTAGAGGGACCCACTGCATAGTCACCTCTAACACAATTTAACACAATTGTTCCCAACCATACAACAATATTTGACATATAATGAGCTGTTCAAAATTGTGGCCACGAACTCCCGATTCCAAAAAATTGTTGTGAATTTCTGGACAATATTCGTGCGATTCCAGCCGAATCCCACAAATATTCGTAACACTATCGCACCTGTATCGTAACTGAATTGTAGAGCGTGGCGATTTAGACCAGAAAATTGGCAAAATCTCACGAATCCTGAAATTTGTCAATTCCCGGTGATTCGTGGGATTCGTGGTCTGTGTGAAATAGGGGCATAATTTGACACAAATTGACAGAATTTCATAATATTGGAATGTTTGGAAGATCAGAGCACCTCCATTTCATGAATTTGGACCAAAATGATCTTTCCTCAAATTAAATTATGTTCTACTGTAAGAAATTCAAGTGACATTACCGTATATTCTCTTGGTCAACTCTGCTAATTTTCATGATAAAATCTTGTTCAGGGATGAAGTTACGCCCATACCGACTGCTATCTCACCTCAACATTGGAAGGTGATAAATTGATGACTAAAGCTTTCAGTTGCCTATGCTTATACATTGCAACAGAAAAACATAAATACAAATGTTTTATATTTTGAGGTTTTTTTCCATTGTTGTAAATCAGCACAAAGATAGATGCATTATTGAACAATTAGATGCAGGAAAAACTCATTTTTGGTATCTGGATGATAATAAAGGGTCACAATATCCTTAATGAATCAAGTATTAACGCTCATTTTCCTGCTTTTGTAGATTAGTTGTAAAGAAGAGACATACAAGAGGCCAGTCAGGACCAACCTTAGCACTGAACAACAAGTGGTAATGTTACATAATGTCATGTAATGCTGTGTAAGAGTTTGTGGATCATGAGATTTAGGCCCGTAGCCAGCAATTTGAAAGTGGGGGGAGGGGGGGTCTTGTCTCTGAAAAAATACACCTTTTGCCATTAAGCCTTTAAGTTCCTAGATCAAATTTTACCCAGTGCAGACCTTTTCCTTGCAAAAAAGCCATTTTGTTTGAGACCCCCAAACTCTCCTAGAGACATAACAAATATGTAATGGTACATTGGTCACTATTAACAGTATGTAATTGATCTTTGCAACACTGGCTTGGTGACATAATTAGGTTGTAGGTACATGAATTCCCAGCAGAAGGATAACTGATATAGGCCTGTTCTCTTTAAACTTACAGGAATGATCAGTGTTTCTAAAATACAGGTCAAAATTCTATTTTGGGCACTTCCAACATAGCGACCATTAGAGGAAATCTATATGTTACTCATGATTCATGATTCTCAAAAATACAGAAAAGATTCATAGAACTGAAATACAGCTTAAGTAAGAAAACCAGCCTTATTCCATTTATTTTCTCGAAGTTATGCATAATTAAGACTTGGTATTGACTTTGCTGTTTTATTACATTACAATTGATTAAATAGTCTTTTTTGTGCAACATTTTCTGCTTTTTGAATAATTTTGTCTGTACATTTGACAGCTTTGCTGCCTTATCTTGACATTAATATTTATATGAATTTTATTTTAAAATTTAAGCCAATGGAGGAGCCACTGTATGCAGAGATTCAGGAGAGAGATGTGGAGATAAGAAGACAGAATATCAAGTTGATGGAAAAGATAGGAAGCGGGGCTTTTGGCCAAGTCTTTAGGGGCAACATTTTCAACCTAGATGGAAAACAAAATTGGAGCATTGCTGCTGTTAAAACAGCAAAGGGTAAATAATGATTCCAACAATTTTTAATAGCTTTGACACTTTAGGCCAGTAAAAATCAGATGATTTCAGCATGTACTTTAATAGGGTAAAATCATATTTGTAGATACCAGTGACACATCCCTCTGCAGTGAAATAATGAAGGAACTGAAAGTGATGCTGGAACTCCAACCTCACCCAAACGTGGTCAGGCTTTTAGGGTCCTGCACTCGAGATGATGGTATGTAGACATATTATTTAATACAAACCTAATAAATTTTCAAATCTCTGTAAATGAAGCATGGAATTCATACAACTGCATGCGTTAATCAATAGGAAAGGACAATTCAGTGGTGAGGTGTACGCACCATAAAAGTAAAGTACTGAGTATGAACCTGTTTACTTCAGAAATTTTCTGCTTTTTTTGCGCAATTTTAATAGCATCCTATGGAACACCTGTATATTAAAGTGATAATAACTCTTCGTTTCGGCCAAAATATGAATTTTCCTGGAGTAAACAACAATTTTCCCATACTTACCAATGGTTAATGAATCCATTTTTACATTCAAAGTTAGTCCCTGGTTTTTTTCTAAAAAGTTTGGTTTTTTGTTAAAATCTCTTAAGAGATTTTAACAGAGTATAGCCATCAATGGAGGTCACGTGGTCTAAAGACAAGCTCAGATATCAGAATAATAGCTATAACAGCCATTTTTGTGGGAAAACAGAATATATTATATTTTTATGAGTTATTCACAATGTTTTTATTGTGAAATACAGATTTCATACGAAGAGTTATTATCCCTTTTTATTATAAGTGGAATACTGTCAACCTTAAAGTAAATTGACACATTTTTTTAAAATTAAATTGAACTGATTCGTTTTAGCTGTGCCACTGATTATTGTCGAGTACCTTCCAAATGGAAATCTCCAGGACTACCTACGAAAAGATCGTTCAAAACAGAAAGTGCAGTATGGGAATTTACATGGGATCAGTTCCTCTTTGACACCACGTGATCTGATAAAGTTTGCATTAGATGTAGCCAATGGAATGTCATATCTTTCATCAATGGCAGTAAGCTAGAATAAACAATTATTTTATGAAAACAGATAATTCTTTCTTACTATTGCTTATTTTGTCCATTTTCTATATCACCAATTTTTGCCTCATAGTCAGTTAAGATCACTTTCTTATAAACTTAAAAAGATAATAAGATGTGCCAACATCTTCATTACATCGTGAGATCAACAATCTTGATATTTACATTGTAGATTCTTCACAGAGACCTTGCTGCTCGAAACATTTTGGTAGCAGAGGATAGAACCTGCAAGATTTCCGATTTTGGCTTTGCTAAGGACGTCATTGAAAGCCACAAGTATGAAAAACAATCGCAGGTCAGTGAATACCCCTCTACATAAAAGCCAAAAAATATTTACTTTGCATTCTTACCTGAACTTAGCATTAGCAATCTTGGATAGTTATTTTATCCATTATCAGTATTAGTAGACTTGAAGAAGTGTTACTACTCAGTGATTTACATGATACATGATCTGGCCTCAATCAGCCCCAAGGGATGTACATTTTTAAGCAACATATAGTTAGAGTATAACTGCATATTTTTGTATGCATTGTAAGGTTGTCTACTGTAAATAAACATATATATATAGAAAGGCTGTGCAGACCCCAGAAAGGTACATTGACCGTGACGTCTCATCTGCTCCACCAGACTGTCCGAGTTAAAAGAATAAATTACAAAAACGACACTCTGAACTGTTCAGTTGGAAACAACACGCTGAATTGTTCGATAGAAAACTGATATGCTGCACCGTGAACTGTTCTTGTGACATGTATATGCTAGGAAATGTTCCAATGAATAACGGATAACAATTAAGATATAAGGTATAAAACCAGGCAGCCGCCTACAAATAAAGAGAGGTTTAGATTTTATAACTTGGCTTTGGTGTTGCGTTGCCTTTCTCTCCCAGTTGGGAATCGTGGACCGAAACTTGAATCTTTAGCAGATGGATTAGAGCCCTTAGAGTAAAATATACCAATAACCAATTGATAGATAAACATGTATGTTTTGTTAATGTTACTCTTTAATAGGGTTGCTTGCCAGTTCGCTGGATGTCCCCAGAAGCTCTTTTTGACAACATATATTCCACACAGTCTGACGTCTGGGCCTATGGAGTCTTGCTCTGGGAGATTGTCACATTGGGTAAGAGTACCTGACAGTCAAGCTTATAAAAGTCTTGTTTTTGTTGTAAGTTAAAGGTTTAGCAAGCAAGTATTATGAAACTGTGATTATGTGTCCCATTGTTCAAGGGGTAATCATGATTTTATGATAACACATACGTATGACTCTGCAGTATTTTAATTTTGAGAACTACAGCTTGTTATTCAATATCTGGTATCTTTTTGATAAAATGTCTTCTGTTCGCCTGGATTTTTATCAGACATATTAAAATGTGGTGCATATAGTAACTGAATATGTAATAAATTAATATTGTTATATTTATTATTTGTTTAAATATTATTATTACTATCATTATATTATTATTTGTATAATATATATTTGACATTGAATTTTCATTCACACAATATGTGTACCTTTTTTAATTTTGATCAGAAGTTTTTAAGGGATAATTTAGTGGAGATGCACTTCTGACATTAATTAGTACCACTAGCGTGTACGCTGGCGGTACTCATGGTTTTAGTCCCGACCCGTCTCGTCCAGCTCCGCTGGCTCCGCCGGCTCCGTTGGCTCCGTTGGCTCCGCCGGCTCCGCGTACTGGCGCCGGATACAAGTCACTGTTACCGCTTCTCCTCCTAGACCGCAAGGACCCCTGTCCCCATCTCTTGGATTTAGGTCACATATAACCTCAACTTTAATCCCCGGGTTTTTTTGTCTCAGTCGGTGCATTGACCTGGGCGTGACACTCGTTGAAATGCACCCTTGTCAAAATTTTTGAAAATCCAATGCCAATTATCTACCCTACGGAAGGAATTATGGGAAAAATTTCTACAGACAGCTTTCCAAAAGTCATTTGTGTAGATTTCAAATATGCCCTTGGATTTGACCTTTGACCTTTATTTCAAGGTCAAACGGGCCAAAATTTTCAAAAA